TATCCATTATTCAGAGTGTGTGCAGTGGTTCCTCTAACTACACTGAAGTTTTCTCCTGGGTACCAGAAAGCACGTAGGGAACTTTCCTGTTCAAAACGTAGTTGCCAAAATAATTTGGTGCCTCCAGAGCTAGGCAGGCACAGGTGAGTGACTTTTTTTTTTTCATCCCTACCACACTCTTTTAGGGTGTATGCAGTATTTAGCATTTAAGCAATATTTAGGCACACCCCTTTAGAATGCCAAAATTAGTGCTGTCGCTCATTGGCGTGGAGGAAGGTATTGCAGAATGGGAAGATTATATGCCATATAAATGCTCATCTTTCATTTTAAGATTTTTTTTCTAGGCTGACTGTAAATTTCTTAATTGATTAAAAACATTTCTTTCATGACTTTAATAATCTCTATCTTAGCTTAAATAACTGCATAAATTAGTAGGCACATGAAATAATTATTGTGCATATATGCTTTGGATGGCAGTTGGTGGTATAATAAAAGGCAAGAACAATCTATTCTTGTTTTATCCATTTTTTTTCTGGGTTTTGTTTTTGTTTTTGTTTTTGTTTTTTTTTACAGAATTAGGAAAATTAAATTGGTTATCCATAGCCAACCAACCCATATTGTCCATGGCAGAGGTTCACAGGCTGCTTCTCAGCAAAGTAGTATGCCAGCATTGCCTGAGGATCTAATATTGAGACATGTTTCTGTTCCCAGCATTAGGAAAAAGAAAAAATAATTTTGGGAAGCCTGGCCCAGGGTGAATTCTGTTCTGTATTGTCAGCTAACGCTACAAATAAGCTGTGGCTTATTTGTTTTTAACTGGATATGATTTGCTTAAGAAGCTCTTAAGTTAAAATGTCCATGGCTAATATGATATGAATCCAAGAAATTGTATAATAAGGAGCTTGTTTATCTATGCAGCTATTATCACTCCCTGTGCTTGGATTTTACTGTTTGTTAATGATTTCTCCATAATTATGATTAGAGTTCTTATCAGTACAAACTAGAGGTTTGGAAATGTCCAGACTTTCCAACAGTGTTTATTTAGTGATGTGGTATTCCCCTGCTGCTTTCCACTTAAGGAGTTAGCTGAACATTAACAAGCATAACTGTGTACCTTTCATATCACACTATGAAAAAGATGCTGGAGCAATCTTCTACCAGCCCTTGTCAGTATTTTGGATCATAAATTAATGTCTCATGATGTACAGCTTCTAAAAGGATCACAAGCCTATGGATCTAAGCCTATGGAAGCTCTTAGGTGAAGTGGGAGATTGTTTTGTGGCATATAGGCAATAATAGAAATCATTTGTAAAATGATCAGATGTGATTAATTTAAATCTTTAATTCAAATTAACCTTTTTAGTATAATTGTTAAAGTTTTGCCCTTTTCACAAAAGCAACTTAAGTATTAAGAATTTAAGAGTTTTCAAAATACAAAAGCAATTTAGTGGTTCTAATTTTTGAGCCAAAAGTAGGAAGATGCCCTTTGGTGTACAGGTGCCTCCAGTATGCCATATATTTTAAATTTAATGTCAGTAGATGATGTGTGATTAAAACCTGTGGCCATCTTTGAAGATTCAATTTTAGCTTCGAAGTAATTATATATGGAAATCTCTTATGAGTACTGTGTGGGTAACTTTCATTTATGCTTAGTAAAGTGCAAAACTGGAACCTCTATTTATAAAGCTGTTGTTTAAGCTTCTCTTTTATTCCATCCTTGATTTAATTCAGTCTATTCAAGTTTTGCTCAAACAGCAGGTTTGGTCATTAGTGAATAGCACAAATAGCTTTGCTCTTTGATCTATACAGTCCTTAAATACAATGTGCCAGTAGGCATGTGCAATATAAATATGCTGTAAGTACAAATAATTAAAAGATTTTGGATAGTAGACGTGTTGAAACTAGCAGCATTTTGCAGGTTTTCAATTCCTGTTGGATGACATAGGGAACAAATATGCAAGAAAAACCTCAAATCATCTCAGAATTTACAAAACATTTGTTTTTAATAGCAGTTATTAAAATAAATATGCTTTTAAATTCTATTATTTACCTAGGACAAAAAATCTTGTGTTCTGCTTGATTTGCATAATTATAAAATGTGTAGTAATTTTAAAATTCATGTGTAGGGTGTATTTTTAGATCATTTGAGAAGCATGAATACTGAAGATACATCAGAATCCTCATTTTGTCTAGTATATGATGCTGTTTTTATTCATATTTATCAGTTGATCTTGCAGAAAATCTTTTCAGTGAAAGTGTCTTGCTACTTTCTTGAGTATTAGACATGTTGGGTCAAATTTTGTCCTATGATACTGACACAAGTCACTGAACAAACCTGATCTTTTTTACATGTTACAAAATATTGAACAACCGAATGAATAAATCAGTGATTTAAGCTTCTTTCTCAAAAAAAAAAAATAAAAAGGAGAAACAGGCCTTAATAAGTATAATGTTAGTGTATTGTTTAATTCTGAAAGTAAAAATGTGTTTTATTTACTGGGATTTTTTTTCTACCTTTTTTTTATAACAAATTTCTCTAAAATACTACTCTGCAAACATCCTACTTCGGAATTACCATTTCTTTATGTGAAGAGAGGGAAACATTTTTATGACCAGTTAGAGCTATTTTTAACACTAACTTTGAGTTTTTATACACTGATTTTACCAGGAACTCTCAAGGGTCTTTTCAGAGAAGCAGTCCCTGCTAAACGCAAGATATAGAAGCAAAAATACCAACAAATAGAGCTTGGCCAAGTTGTCCAACAGGAGATACATAGAGATCTTTGGTTCCCGACATTCTCATTCTCTCTACTAACATCTCCATAGGGAAGCAGGGAACAGATCCAGGGCTGTTGCCTCTTGTCTCTGCAGTGTGACAGTGAGCCTTGTGGCCTCATCATGTCTCCTGAGAGCATGCAGTGTTTGTCTAACTGCAAAACCTTGTATGGCTTAAGATGCATTTGATACGGTGAAATATGGTTTCTTTTCATCATTAAGTATTTAACTTCATACTACTTCTAGTATATGCTGTTGCTAATTATTTGTATAGACATTGGATGAAAAGTATTTCTAGATATTGAATGTATTAATTCAGTATTTCTAGTGTGTTGAAGCAAGAGGCATTCTCAAAAGACATGCTACATGCTGAATGTTTGTTTTGCTCGGAATATTTTAATATGTTTTCACATAAGTCTGCTCACCATTATGATTCTGTTGATTTTGAAGATGTACTTTTGTAAACAGTTTAGGCCAAACTAAGAGTCAACTCAGTGAAAAGTGGCTTTTGCCATCTTTAATTGGCTATTTCTCCTCTCTTCATGTATGGGTGCTTCTTTATTTTCATAATTCATTGAGTGTACCAGCCGGAAAACTAGCACAGAAAAAAAAAATAGTAGTTTGACTGCCTGCCTCTTACATTTAGTTAAACTAGGGCGAATGCAAGAGAGGCAAGGGGCAGAAGGGAGGATAGTCTTTTCCAGCAGCAGCTCACACTTAAGTTGGACCTAAATCAGTCAGGAAGTCATATTCTGGAGAAAAAAGAAAACTAGTTTTACTTGAAATATAAAATGTGTATAACATGCAAGAAATACAAGATACAAGAAGGAGAATCGGCCATCTTTTAGCAGGTAAAATGTCTGTCACTGTTCTGTAATGTTTAGTTAGTTCCCATTCTTAGCATGTCTAGATAAACAAACAGGTGTTTTTTGGAACGTGATTTTCTTCATCCACTTTCCTAGACCGCTTCATGTATGTTGTTTGATTTGGTTTGGTTTTTAATTGAAGGGTTCTATGCCATTTGAAACCCAGGACAAAGAAGTGAGTTTTCTCCTTGCCTCAGAGAACAGAAATGCTTAGGATGCACCTTTGCTCCTGCAAAAACAAATTCTAGTCCTAGGCCTTCCCTTGCGAAGACTTGGGATCCTGCAGAGGCAAATTCCACGCCTGCAGTACAAGTATGCAAGCATCATCTCCCGCTGACACTTCCATTCAGCTGTCACAAGGAGTTTCAGAACCGGAGGCAACTCTTGATTACCCATAACTTAGATGCTTTAGCATTCCGAAAATAAAGATATACAGCTTAAACTTGGCCCAGGGCTCTGTGTGAATGCAGCGGGGCTCAAGGAGCAGATGGCTTGGAAGTTCAGGCAGCGTAGCATAAGAGATGCCCAGGTGCATCTGGATGAGTTGTTTGGTGTATGTTTGCTGAATCTGAGAAGCCTGAATCTCAGTACATTGCTTTGCCGTTCATAATAGGATTTAGGAAGGGAATTAAGTGTCAAAAGCCAACCTACTGCTTCTCATAGGCCAGGGCATGCCACTTAGAGAAACTGTATTATATTCACACTTCAGATTTCGGTGTTTTGGCAGAGGCCTGTTGTGATTCTGCTTACATTTTAAGTACTCAGCTGTAATGGCTGTGATGATGAACTTTCTTCTTTTTATCTTCTTGTGGTCTACTATCACTTTATACTTTATCATCCATTTTAACATTAGAAGCGAGGAATTATCAGCTACCTTACTGGATGAGTGGTGAGCATTTAATTAGCTGTGATAATGAACAATATTGTGAAGTTTGAGTCTTTCTTTTACTTGATGCCTCTTAACTTGGAAGAAATATACCTAGACAATTAGGTGCAGCAGGATTCTGCACAAATAATCTGATGTCTCAATACTGGGTTTTTCGTTGTTACTCTAAAGGTGCTTTCTTCCAGAAAAGTCCAGATAAGCATTTCCTTGGATATCTGCTGCGAAGATTGTACTATGGCAGTAAAAGCGTGCTGATCATAGAGTATCATAGAATCATAGAATGGTTGAGGTTGGAAGGGACCTCTAGAGATCATCTAGTCCAACCCCCCTGCACATGCAGGGTCACCTAGAGCACATGGCACAGGACTGTATGGTGACATCTAGACTTCATATAAGAAAAATACTCTTGTACTCTCTTGTACTTCTTTTTTGGAGATTGCTTACTAGTTTTTGTTTGTTTTTTATAAATACAGACTTGGATTATCACTTGCTTTTGTCTTCAACTGCTCCTACTAAATCCTCTTGTCAAAGCCCAGAATTCCTGTGGGAATCCAGTGACAGATGATGCGAATGACATTGCAAAATTGGTAAGTAGCTTTTAATTTACATATATTTTTGATGATCAGTGGGTAATGGCAATTAAATTTTTAAGGAAAGTTAGCAAATACATGTTAGAACTAAAAGTATATTTTAAAAAATCAAAATATATGAAATTAAATCCTTAAATGCAGAGACTAGGGAATAACTTTCAGAGTTCTTTGAACAGATGAATTTCTTGATCATAATGATGTGTGTGGACTTATATTGTTCCCTCCCTTTAAACTTCCCTGAAAATTGTGAAAAGTCTTTATTTCCTAAAACATTATCTGGGAACAGAATGCTTTTTACCATCCAGATGTCAGATTACTATTTTTGTTTTATTGGTCTGTGTGGAGCAGACTGATGGCAAACACAACTAAAATGAACAGTAAGTCTTTACCCAAAGTTTACAGGAAATTCATGCCATATGTAAAAATAATTTAATATTAGGCATATTTCTCACAGCTAATCATTTATGTGAGTAGGTTACATAGAATATTCTGTATTTTTCTCTCTACTTGTTCTATTGTACTTAGAAGTTTAGTCTGAAGGACTGGCAGCTTTTTTAAGGACTGAATGAATGTAAGTACATTTTGAGTCTAACTTAGTTGAACATTGCATTAATTTAGACAACTATGTGTACTTATTTGAAGTCATTTGGCATGTAACTCCACTAAGTGTCTGATTATGCTGACTCCTCTAACACCAAAGGTTTAAGAAATAATGCATACTGAACACTTAACGAGTATACCTGCATCTACATATTCTGTTCAGCTGAAAATTGTGGCTTTGTAATGGAGAAACAGTTGCAAGACTGAAATTAGTGTCATCAGACATTTAATTTGGAGTCAGTTGCATTTGATGGCAGTGCATCTTAAAATGTTCTTAACTTCTTTTCATTGGGTATTATATGAATTGGCACATAGTGTATTTCTATGAGAAGGAAGGAGTCCTTCTGAAATGCTTAGTGCTTCATATTAGTCCCTGTAGGCATAATTCTGAAATATCGATATATTTATTGAAGGTGATATTACATACATCTCTTAAAAAGGTATTAATCTTTGATTAAACGTGTTGAAAGCATGACTTTAAAATAACAGAATTCCTGTGAGGGTTAGTGAAGTTATTTGGAGCAGATTCAACACCAACTTCTTACCAATTATATATTGTCAGAACAAATGTTTGAACCTTAAGAGCAGACAAACACTGGTGACAAAAATTTCCTTGCAGTTTGAACAATCACCCTTTCCTATTGTGGGAAATTAATAGACAAACTTAATTTCATAAAAATATTATTTTTATTATTAATGAATTTCTGTATAGCTTCCTTTGTCTTCTTCCAATCTAGTCCAGTAACTGCAATTCTTGTACATATCCTGCAGCCCTCTGTGTTTGTATTTCTACATACAGCACATACAGCACATACAGTTCCACATACAGCATCACTAGGTCCCTTATATATTCCCTAGGAATGATGCCTATCGGAACAATATTTCCATTTCCTTCCAGGCTCATATCCCATTTTGTCCGGCTTGCTGGCTGGGCAGGAAGGAGTTTGGTGACTGCTTTGGTGGGTGTGCTGCTTAGCCTGAGAGGAAAACTTTCCTGACTGCCTAGCTTGCATTGCACTTCTGCTGCCAAGGTTGAGCAGAACGGGGTAGGGCTGAGCTCGTCGGCCATTTCTTCAGTGAGGGTGCTATTATGATCTTTCTCCTGAAGAAAATTCCTGCAGAATTTACAGGAACACGTATACTTTACAGATCTCTCCATCTAATGCAAAATTTGAGTGAAATTAGCTAGCAGGTTTGAAGATATTTTCATTTGGAGAAATAAGACAGATGCACAGAATATAAAGACTAAAAAACAGGTGCTTGGATTCAGTTTGGTTTGGACTGTGCATTTAAGAATGTTCTGCAGAAAGTCTGTTTCCCTATTTTGTATATGTGTGTTAGTATTTGCATAGATTTTTCATCCACCTGAGAAGAAAAAGGATAACATGAAAATAGGTGTAGTATCTTAAAGTACAAGAACTCTTATTTTTAATTAAACTGACTGACTTACAAGTTGATTGTTCCCTTTTGAACAATCCCATGATTGTCCCATGACAACTTGACATCGAAAATGAAAAAGCTCTATATAATAAAATTGAGTACTGTAATTTTAAGACAAACTATCATTATGTGACAATTTACCTAAAAGTAGGGAGAAATTCATTGTGAGTACTGATTCACTGAGAATTACTTTTTTTTTTTAACAATGCTATGAAAATTGTATTGATTCAGTAAGAATTTGCTTTCAAATTCCTGATATAAGAACATGAGTGCATTAAAAAGTTTTGCCACCGAAAGCAACAGGTCACTATTTTAACCTATATTTATAAGTGATATTTTTCTTCCCCCTCACCCACATAGATCTTTAAGAAATGTTTACATAAACCAAAGCAGTATGGTGTAGAGGTACCTGTACTACTTAGAGAAGACCACGCTCAGATACTGATTAGACATTATCAGCAGGGCTGTTTTCATTTTGGTGTAGTTAAGTATCTGTTCTTATTCTAATACCTGCACTATGCCATTCAGAGATAACATCTGATTATATTTTACCATGTGATTATACCTGGATTAATTAAAGGGAAAGACTTTTCAAAATGGAAGGATATTGATATATTTGTAAATGGTCTTTTAACTTCTGGTAGTTTTACATTTATAATTTGTCATGATATATGGGGATATCTTAAGGATATAGACTTCAAAATGTCAAATTCAACTTTCTTCTAAATTTACAGTGGTTTTAAAACCAGTACACCGACATGCATTTTTCTGGCCTCAATTTCTGTGATTCTGCCCTTCTGTTTTCTTTTTTTTTTTTCATATTGCTGCTCTGACCCTGTGAGTTTCCATTTGCCTACTTCAACCTGTACTTCCTTTGTCTCTTTATCGATAACAGGCTTTGCCTTCAATGACAAGTCGATCGGTGTCAATGTCATCTGTCGATGACAAGTTTTGCCTTCAAAGGCCCTACTAACACTGACACTGTCTGTGAACTGTCTTAACACATTCTGACATAGCCTTCTTGTCCTAGCTTATCCTAAATATTTCCTTGGTTTCTATTATGCTGTTCCTGGGACATGGGAGAGATCCTCCCTGATAAATTCCAGGCAGATCCTCATCCTTTTTGTATCTCATACTAAGAATCTTACAGCATAAATTGGTCTCCCTCTACCTCTACTGCACATCACATGCAGCTAAGAAAACAGTGACACAATTCCCAACCAAATTCATTTGTTTGTAACTCGATTCTACTTCATCTTCGTTTATTTGTTTCTGGGGTTGTATTTTAATTATTGTAAGCTTTGTAGGGCTAGGATCAACTCCATTAATGATTGTGTGGAGCCCGACACAAGGTGCCCCAGTCCTGCAAAAATACTAACATAATGTAAATATTGAGGAGTAATAATAGTGATTTAGCTAACAAAACACTTGGTTATGAGAAAAATAGACATGCAGTTCACATATTAAGAAGTGCCTTGAACATGGCTGTCGCTGTTAAAGTATATTGTATTCTAGCAATTTGAGATGGTCATGCTGCATCTAATGCTTTCTGTAAACATAAACCAGGTCTATCTAGTGCAGAATAAATAAGGCACTCTGTGATGTGCTTAAAGATGATGGTCATTCGCTCAATCAGTGTTATACTGAACAATAAGCTGGGAACAGATGTATGTTGTAGCTTGTTTTCAGTGGTGTTAATATGGATTTTTACTAGTGTCACTGGTGTCTAATGACTTACAGAATCTAGAATCAGAAGAGCAGTTTCAGTAAAACTGAGGTTAATGAGCCCTAACAAACTTAAGACCAACTGATGTCTGTTTGAACAAAAATGACTGTTAGTATATTCTATAAGATTAAATGTATTCGAAGTTTTCATAACCTAGTATTGCAACGATAAAGAAAGCAAGCTATATAAATTTTTTTTTTTAAAAAAAAAAGAACAATTCAACAATGAGTTTTCTCAGAACTTTAAAAGAGCATAATTTCATGCCTATAGAGAGTGCAAGTATTTAGAGAATTTCTGCATTGTTAATCACTTGAACTCAAGCTTCTTCTTTTAATGAAGATGTCTGGAGGGAAACATGCTGCTTGATGAACAGATGTTCCATATTATGAGACTGTAATTGCAGTACCTGCCAGTAAAGCCTGTCCCCATTGTTCTTTTCAGCACAGTAAGTCAGCAGAAAGCTATGGCACTGCATTGAATTGTGTCTCCAATTTAACATACCAATTAAAATTTTTGAGTGTATGTTTGCTAAATGTCATCATCCAACCTGAATGAAAGTAGGATTTTCCGTGAGCTGTGCCACATATATGGAATGTACTAAATATTTCAGTTTATTCTGTTAACAAAATGTAAGATACTTCTGTTTTCTGTGGTCTACGTCTTTAAAACAATGTTTTTTATTATTATTATTATTGGAAGCCTGAGCAGTAGTCAACATTTTCCAATTAGGCCAGTCATTTGAAAATGTAGTTTCAAATACCTTACCTTCACATTGCATCTTTGCTGTAAATGTGTACTTTACACCCTCCACAACATTTGATATTTATTTTTAAGTGGGTCTAATTCTAATGTGTGAAGAGGTTATAAAAATGATCCAGTGTTGTTATCCTGGAAATAAGCTGCCACTATGGTTGTGAAAAGTGTGAACAGTACTCGTTAACATGTTGTCTTAAGCCAAATGATGCAGATTTTATTAACTGCTTCATTAGCAGATGAGATAAGAGTAGATTGTAGAGACGATGGACTTTTCTTGCAGGAAAAGAAAAGTCAAAGAGGCAAGGATAGGAGATGTGGAAGCATTCAAGAATGGGAAAAGAGAGTGAGGAAGAAAGACACAAGGTAGAAATGGTAGCCAAAAGTAAAGTACATTTTTTTTCCATTATATGATTCAGAATAAAAAAGAAAGCACTGGCAATAGCAAATGGTTAATTTTTACTTTAAAGACTTTACCTTCTTTCCATGTATAACAATGTCAGTATCTATGTTTGTATCCTTAAACTTTTCAAAACAGTAAAGCAGTTCACAATAAAGAGAATTTCTACATGAGAGTAGCCTCTCATATCTGAGCACCTGACTGTAGAGATAGGTCGTATCTTTTCTGTTCTTCTATTGTTTATGAGAGAGTAGTTCTACATCACTTACAACTGTTTCTGTGGTTATTCATTTCTTTTTCATCTCCTCATCTATGTGATCGTCAGCATATTTTTAAAAGTATATTTGGGTTATACAATGTTAACAGAACTGTATTAAATATTCAGACTTCTTTATGTCAAAAGGAGTCTTGCGTTCCACAGCCTGAGATTTTATTACAATTGGGAATATAGTCATTAATATATGTCTTGTAAGATTTTAAAGGCATAAGTCTGTATTTCCTTTTCTACGTTTCTTGGAAGAATAATATGTTCTCGGAGCCTGTTAGGATTTCTACAGCCATACGCATGCACTAAATCAGGCATTTTTTATGGCATTTTAATTGCAATGCATGGTTCACTCTATAAATTGCTTTCCAAGATCATCAGCTGATGTTCTGTATAAGGAAGGTCATACAGGTGGAAGTTTTGTTGCACCCAAATTTGTCACTGTAATTAAGAAGTTGATTACAAGAATCAAAAAGCTGTTTCAGCACAGAGGAATTTTCAAAGAAAATTCACTTTTAAGCCATCACTTCTCAGGCAGATATTAGTTTTCTTGTCTTCTGCCTCTTGAAGTTCTTTTGGGGGTTATTGTTATCTGCCACCTCACACAAATACAGAATCTGTTTTTGCCTTTGTGCTCAATTGGAAAACGCAATGCACCCATGCTTATCCCTCTTTTTGACCCATTAACATTACTCCACGAGAATACTTTAGCATTAAAAAGGAATGATTAGTTTTAAATTATAGTCTTGGTAGTTCAGCAAAATTCAGTAAAATTTCAAGAGTTGTTTGAGAGGAAGCAAAAACCAAGTGTACCACTTTAATACAAGCATATTTCTCACTGGTACCTCAATGACTTTGATAGGCTGGAGGATGGGGCAGAGGGAAACCTCATCAAGTTCAATAAATACAAGTGCAGAATCTTGCATCTAAGGAGGAATAACCCCATGAACCAGTACAGTTTAGGCGTTGGAAAGCCATTCTGAGAGAAGGACCAGGGAGTCCTGGTGGACAAGGTGACCAAGAGCAGCAATGTCTGTGCCCGTATGGCCAAGAAGACTAATGATATCCTGGTCTGAGGTAGAAATAACATTGCTAGCAGGCTGAGAGAGGTAATCCTTCCTCTCTTTTGCTAATTCCAGCTGGGACAAAGGATAACTTCATAATCTGGACTGAGCTATGCCATTTACCACCACTGGAATATTTGTCATGTCATTTAATCAAGATTCTATCAGTTTGTTTCTTCATGAGAAGAATGTTGGGTTTGGTCACCCTAGTGATCTTCATTTTAATAGCAAAATCAAGAATATCTTTTCTGATTCACAGGCTATCAAGAAGAAAAATATCTGGGACTGAGCTGTTATCTCCAGCTTTCTTTGAGAGCTGTAAGAGCTCTTAGGCACTTACACTTTTTTAACTGTGCATGAAAAGTGCTTGACAGGCACTGTTGTCGGTAAAGTAGACTGTATACATAATGCATCTCAGTTCTTGTAGTGTTCATTGATTTGGAACAAATTTAATCTTCCAGTGACCTTTCTTAAAGAAATGTACTTTTGCTGACATTGCTAAGTACTGAATCCCTACGGAGTAAGTATGGGAAACTTTGCACACGTAGGCACGCAAAGCAAGCTGGAAAAGAAACTGGATTACCCATTAATGTGCTGTATTGCAGGATGTTTTTTGAGAAGGGAGAAAAATGAGAAAAACTGTAGATAGGGTTCAGAATAAATCAGCCAGTTGCCAAAGGAAATAAAAGTACAGCTTCAGGGATGCTTTAAAGAAAGAAAAATGCATTTCAGGAATATTCAGTATTTGTAATATCTTGAATCAGAACATCCCCAGAGCAGGTGCAGGAAAATAGAAATTGATACAGAGGATTTAGTGACACTTTTGCAACCTCTGCCTGAAGTATATGTAGGTATAACAAGTAAAAAAAAAAATAAACACATGATCTACAGAACAGCATTCATCAAAATCACTTGTATAAAACTTGTTTTCTAATGCTGTAAGAACAAAGCTCGAGGTCATTGAACTGAAAGATCGTGGCTCAGCCTACATTGTAAATACAAAAATGTTTGGAATTCACTGGTGACTTATTGTACATAAGTATTATCCTTGAGCAGTTCTAGAACCTTAATATTTTGAAATTGCTGTTTTAATTTTTAACTGAAACTAAATTTAAATTAAAAAGTAAAACATTCTGTTGTGCTAAACAAAGTATTACCTAAAAACTGCATGGAAAAAAACCCCCATGGTGCTAGTTGCTATAGCAGCGAAATCAAAAGCACCCACAACAAAATGATAACCCAAATAAGTAGAAATTCTTTGTTGGAACAAAGTATAGATTCTAGTTCATGAAAGGAGCTAGTCCATGAAAAGAGAGTATGTGCTTATCACCTTTCAGCAAAATGGCTTTCAAATAGGATTAGAAATATCAGTTGAATCTTTCCTTTCACAGGTACACAAAGATTTGCTATATCATGAAGCACCATAATATTAGTCAAACTTTCAAAACAAGTACTTCAAGGTGAATCATGGTAGGAGTCTCTCTCCTCATCCTCATCTGCCCTCACAGCACATTCCCCAGTGATCTGTCCCATCTCATGGGAGAGTTGGATCCCATCTGTAGGAGGTTGCATTGCAGTAAGACCCCTTGCTCCACTCTTCATTCTCATTTCAGCTTATCCCATACTTCCCGACCTCTGTAGTGCCAGACTGAGTTTGCATGTTCGGTCGCCCTCCTTTGCCTCAGGACATGGCTGTCAGATAATTATGTTGCTCATCATTAGTCTGAAGTACAGCTTCAAAGTTAAAGTTGTACTTAAGTTTTTTTTCTGACCTAGTACGTTAGTGAGCACTGAGCAGGTGAATATTTACTTAGATTCAAATGCTTACCAAAAAAATTGCTTGAAGGAAAAATGCTTAGTCAGATAAGCCTGTTGGGACAGGTACAGGTGACATAAAAGTTGTCACGTAAACGGTCTAAACACTTCAAGACATCCATTAAAAGAGGGAAATGCGGTGGCATTCGGGCAGTAATGAATAGCCTCATAACATTGCTTCTCTTTCACCACTGACTTTCATTCTGCTGGGAGATAGCGTAAATAACATCAGCTTGGTTCTGGGAATGTTAGTGAGATGCAGAGATATCTGCACTTTTGAGCAAGGTGCAGTTCCACATGAAAATGAGTATGTAAGTTTTGCAACTGATACGTTACCTAAAATGTGTGTTGAATATTTGGGAGATCTTTTGTTGAATACAGTGCTGGAAATTAAATCTTAAATTTCAGTGGTTGGTAATAACATTTTTATTATATATTTATTGTAGGTTGGAAATCTCCCAAATGATTATTTGATAACCCTTAAATATGTCCCGAAGATGGATAGCCTGGTATGTACAACCACATTAAATTAATCCTGATAAAATAATCCACTGGAGCCACTGATGGTCATAACATTTTGTATGTTGTTCTATGGCTTATTACAGTTCAAGAACATTTACTTTATTCTTATGATTGTTATATTATATGAAATAGGCATTCCACAAATTATTTTAAAAGACAGAAATACAGAGAGAGACTCCTGCAGTCATTTAAAATCTTTTTATTTACAGGATTCTTGGAAGAATATCTCTTAATGTTTTTTAGCATTTTCTCTGGAAAAAAGTCAAACTATGGTATCGTTTCATCATATCAACTGAAAATTGTTGCTTACTTGAACAAGCAGTTCCTTTCAAATTATGCTTTAGTCAAGTTGGTGAAAAGTTGTGACATCATTTTATTTCATTCAAACAAACTCTGTATTATTCTTTCTATGTAATCCCACAATTCAAACTATGGTATCGTTTCATCATATCAACTGAAAATTGTTGCTTACTTGAACAAGCAGTTCCTTTCAAATTATGCTTTAGTCAAGTTGGTGAAAAGTTGTGACATCATTTTATTTCATTCAAACAAACTCTGTATTATTCTTTCTATGTAATCCTACAATTCGTTCATAGTCATACTTTTAAATAAGTGTCTTATGTTTTCTTTAAAATTTTCAAGCATTTTGTATTAAAAACTTCTTCATATTAGCATAGTGCTTTTTTTCTGCTAAATATATTTGAAAGTCTCCCGAATTTGCTTTAAACATTTTTGAGAATTCTGTTGAAAATGCTTTCTTGGTTGTTGTATATGCTGCAACAAAAAAAAAAAAAGGAAAAATGAAAAAAAAAGTGAAAGTGGAAATTATGCTAAACACTGTACCATCATTGGTCTATACTGGTTTATCAATACAAGTGGATGATATTGTATCTGGGTTAAGCATATAAACTGAATCATTGTACACGTATGTCAATACTTAGAAATTATCCAGTACATGTAAAAGTTGTGTGTATATCTGTATAAAGTTGTCAGTATGAAAATCAGACTTATATTAGTATACATATAAACATACATTCTAGCAATTCTATCAGTATTCCCCCTCGATATTGGAGAATCATGCAAGAAGCAACATTTTGTCAGCTCCGAATGAACATGAAGAAAGAAGATTGCTGGAGGAAAAGGAAGTTATAGGATAGTGAAGGGTCTTGAAATACGAGGTTTCATTGTGGCAAAGCTAGTAGTGGTGTAATGAGTTTTGTTGGAAGCTAAAAGCTTTTATTAAAACTTAGCGAAAGTTAGAGAATCCAGTTTAAACTTGGCTCCTTAGGCAGGAAAACTCAGAAACAATGCTGTAGAAGTCTGTATTAGATCTGTGCAATAGTCTATACTATAACATAAATAAAACTAATGGAAAATCTAAGTGTCTAAAAATAGCCATTATCCAGAAAAAAAAAAAGAAAAAAGATGTGAATAGAACAGGCTGCCTTTGCCTCCTGTCTGCGGTGCTTTTTGAAATTCAGTGATTATGAATCTGTATGTGATTTCTGTCTCAATGAGGATCAGGCCCGTGGAGTACAGCCGTAGGCCGAATCTGCTCCTTCAGCCTTCCGGATCAGCGAGGCACGCCGGCAGGCGAGGGCAGCAGTTTGTCAGGAGCCATGTCTCTGCTGCTCTCTTGGGGAATGTTTACACTGCAAATGAAGAAGGCCAGGGAGCCTGCCTGAGCAATGGACTCATGATCATTCCCGCTGCTTAACTCTGTGCTTCAATTTTGGCTTCCACTATACTTTCTTTTTCTATAGTCTAAATGCAGTGTCATCTTGCTGCCTCATACCCAGAAACTTAGATCCAGTTTACATTTACAATGAGCAGCCAAGAATTAAATAGTAGGAAGAAAAATTGAGAGCGGAGATTTCCAAATTTGCTTTGCTTGTACGCCACATTCAATAGTGGTGATGGAAGGTTCAGCTCTTGGCCACGTGCCTTCTCAGGAGGAAGTATTCAGTGGTACTCATATCCCACTTTGCCAGATTACTCTCTGGGGATTTCAGGTCGTGTATACCACAGCAAAGGCTGGCTGAACAAATAGGTTTTGCGCTGGGGTCTGAAAGATCCCTACAAGCTAAGAAACCTGTGGCTTTGCATAAGGTGAATGCTTTTCATTCACTTCTAAAAGGATGAAAATAGAGCTCTGCAGATTTTTTTTTTGATAGATTTCAGTCTTCAGGGTATGCACAAAGTGGGAAATCCATCCAAATTAGCAAGACTCAACTGTAGGTGACTAAAGGTAGAAAGGGAGAGTGAATCCCAAGCAGATGGAAAGCCAGTGTAGTGCATGTAACAGGAACAGACTGACCCAATCCATTAAACAGAAGGGTTGTTGCATTATGCACTAGCTCAAGGCATCTGAATGGCTTTAAAAGTAGATTGAGTGAACTGTTTTGGTTAACTTGGAGGTTAAAAGGCAAAAATGACAGCAGCATGGACTGCACTCTAATGGGAGATAAACTGTAAACTTTTAGATGGACGTAGAATGGAAAGGTTAAGTGAGGATTACCTGGGAAAAGAGGGAAGTCAGGCTTGTAAGCACCCACAGATGTAAATTTCAGTCAAATCTTACACAAAAATTTGCACAGAGCAGAGATGAACTTTCATTTCTCCTTGACAAACAATATCACATTTGCCAGTTTTTGCATAGTTTCATCCCTATGTTTAGTAGGTATAGAGAAAGCAAGAAGCGCACAGCTTGACACTGCTGAACGGGAAACCTAAAGCTAATGTGTTCAGCTTTGTAGGTCAGAACAGTTAAGTCAGAAGAGACTCCCACGCACATGCTAAATTGCAGGAGCAGCAAAGTAGAATCCCTGCTGAAATCACCAAATGTTGCTATTGCACAGTAGACAAGCAGCAAGCTTTTGCTAATCTGTGCCATAGTAGAACACGCATCCTTAAAACCTTGGAGAAAAAGGATTTCCGGGCTTGCAGTTCAGAGAAGCACTGAGACTCTGTATTGGCAAACCTACACCAAAGCAGAAGATTCACTGCCTGCCTTGTTAAGGCAACGCAGTATAGTACAGCACATGTTGCTACAATGGAGTTCAGGCTTTCCCTGCTATATTTACTTCTGCCTCTCCCCTCCTGTGCCTTAGGAAAAAAAAGGGGAGCAGAGAACCAAGCCAGATGTCATCCACTTCACATTTGGTTTTATATTTTCTTAAGTTATTGCTGAAATAGTTAGCAAAGGAGATGATACTAAATTTCCATTTGCTGGAGGGCAAGGGAGAGAGTTAAACACATAAGTGAAAGTTAAGGTGGAGCTAAACAATGTACTTAGATTCACTGACATTAATCCTGGAAGCCAAATAGTCTTGAGAGTGTGAATGTTTCTTCATCAAAGATATTTGCACATCAGGGCAGAACAATAGCTATATCACTGAGAAACCAACTCATCCCCATAGCATAAATTGAGTAAAAAGAGATTTAGTCAATAAGTTGGGACAATCCAAATATTTTCAGTGTTCTGTAGATTATGAAGTTGATGGATTGCATGGATGCTGTCATTCAAAATGGTAGGAGGCACTGAAGGTGCATATTTGTCAGGTATTGCAGAGCCAAGATCTTGAAAGATTTAATTATCCCAAGACAACAGAAAACAGTCAAAAATAGCTTCATATTTGAAATAAATTCTAATGTTTCACTTAATATAGTATTACAATACTGAGCTTTACTTGCTCTTTATTTTTTTCATATCATTTACTGCTAAAAATGCAGTATTGCAAGGGATTTCCATGTGCATGTTAGAATGGTGTATAAAATGACTAACATGCACACTACCTGTAGTGCTTACCATAATGAGTTAAGTTTTTCTGGGCATAGTGGAGTTTGGTGGCCTTCTTATTTACTTGACTGCTCTTATCTAAGTAAAATAAGTTAATGACTTACATCAGCAAAATGAATACCAGATTTCAATCCCTTGAACAGCTGTGCAAACTTCAACTGCAGTATAGTGTCAGTGAAAAGATTTGAGCATTATTCCAGTGGCACAGATGTGGCAGATACCATGATGTGATGTGTAGAAACCCTAGAAGCTATGTTCAGAAATAGCATTTAGAGAAAATAATGAAGAGAAAGAATTAACTGAGCCAGACTGCTCAGAGATGGATAAAAGGACACATGGATTTCCACAGCGATATGTTTACAGAATAATTCTTCAAAAAAGATTTAAGTCAAGGATCTTTTGGGTTAATTGAGTTATATAAGATAATAATAAAATTAAAGTTGAGAAGGGTTTAAAGGAAGTCTAGGGGAAAATTGTTAAAGCACTCGTTATTTAAAAACAAACAAACCAAAAAAGTTAATGAAAGCATGGAAGGGGGTTTACAGTTTTATATCCCAAGCTTCAAAGGCTCAACAGACTGATGCTTAACATTGATTAAAAATTTAGTGAGGGGATGGTGTTTAACAGACAAACATAAATATGTCTGTATCAGAGAGAAAGGAGATTGTACCAAAAAGACTGCTGAGAAAGTTAGCTGCACTAGGGAAGATGAATTTTAATTTAGACAATTTCAAGATAATCCAAAGTGGAAAGAGCAGTCTAATTTACTGTTGCACACTGAGTTGCTTAATCAGTTTTTGCATGTGTGATACTTAACCTGCCTTTCTGTTATTTTTATCCCCTGACAGCCTATTCACTGTTGGTTGCATTTGATGGTGCCTGAATTTTCAAGAAGTCTACACAGTCTTCTCCAGAAATTTTCAGATATTTCAGATATGTCTGATGTTTTAAGCAACTATTCAATCATCAATAATCTCACAAGGATAATTAATGATCTTATGGCATGTCTAGCTTTTGATAAAAATAAGGTAATCTCCTAATACAGAGTTTCTACTTTTATGCTGGATATTTTTTTTTTTTGAACTTTCTCTAGCACAGAAGTCAGTATTAATCACAAAATGTCCAAGGCTTCATTACAACTGTTCTTCATTTCTGTTACTTACTTGTGAAATTCAGCTTTGCTTAGTGATGCACAGTGATAGTTAGCTACCCTATCTACTTTTTTAAAGGAAAATAGCTTACAAGGATTTACAGTATTTACAATGACTTGTATAGAGTTATTTGAGTAGTCAAAAATGTAACTGTCATCCTTAATCTAGCCTGTTTCAAACAGACAGAAATCTTTCTTGTGCATCCTGCTTAAGTTAGTAATCTTGCTAATTCCTAATGTAAATTTAAATATGATGCAGTTGAAAGGTATATATTAATATAGCCTCAATATGTATCACCATGTGTGAGCCTCAGAAAACTTCACTGTGGTTTAATGAACTTTTGTATGCAAAGATACGGCATACACTAGAGGATGTCACTCGCCTCAGTTCCTTCTGTTTCCTAATGCCAACAGTAGCTGCAAGGATTCCTGAAATCTGACTCTAGAGATATTTGATTCTCTTGGAGATGAGGAAAAAAAAAAAAAAAAACACCCTTACTCAGCTCTAACTAAACTCTCAGTAATTAAATACCAGTTCTTTAGTTGAAGATTTTGTCCTATTGAAAAAAAAAAAAAAACTAGCATGTTCTATAGATTTCATCCTTACACACATTTATTTTTATCAGGCAGTTCTAGGTTGCTTACAGAGCTGTTCAGTTGTTCCCTTTTACATGCAGAATGAAAAAAGTGCACAGAAAGATCCAGTGTCACTTGGTGTGGCAAAAGCCAGTAACCCTAGCTTAATATTTTAGCATTATATTGCTGAGATGTGATTCTGTAATAAGGTATTCCCTAGCTTTCCACTTCAAAATGAATCCTGTCCAATCTTCAGCATATTTGTGTTTTTTTTTTTTTTAATTCTTGTCATGATGAATCAAGGCACTGACACTCAACTGAGTTGTCTTGAAAGAAGGATTTAATTTCTAAGACAGAGAATAAAGAAAGTAGGAAACATCCTGTAATTCAGAGAAACAGCTATCTGTGTCTGTACTCACAGAGGAATTAATGTAGATCTACTTGCAGTATTAAAAAGAAAATAATTTTGGAACCAAGTCTTAGGAAGTTTTTCTTGGTACACTTTTAACTCATATGCTTACCAGTGTTTACTGGGAGCAAAAAGCAATGCTAGGCCAAATCTGAAGAGCTGGCATAAGAAATAGCTATTATGAAAGCCAGGTAAAAAGGAAACAGGGATAAAAAAAATACTAATAATGATCTTAACATGGATCTCAATCTTTTGTTTAGTTTGACGTAACATACTGTCCATTGGACCTCACAGTGATTGATTGGGCTTCCTTGTTTATAGCCCTGCTTTTATTTTTAGGTATATTATCAGGGATCTCAACCAACTTCTCTGTAGAATTATATCCTAGTTATTGTGTTCTGTTCCTTGTACTCCTATGAAAATAGCACTGATTGCTTTGTGTTCCTGTGTTCAGATCAAAAGGATCATGAATGACATTACAAAATAACATGAAATCAAGGTAAATTTGTTAATAGGAAAACAAAAAACCAAAATCTCTTCAGTTTTAGCATAGGATGGAATGCTGTAGTCCATTTCTTAGCCATTTATTTCTCTGTCAATTTTACAATGATGGATTAATAACTCATTTCTGTTTGCAAAGTGATTTTGAAGTCATCAACTCAGAGTGTTTGCATGTTTTATTAAGATTGTATACATTAAAGTTGGTCTTCTACAGGTTATAAATTTGATCTCATTTGTGTCATCTTTGGATATTTTTATCATCATCTGTTGATATGCTAAAATAAGCACCTCTCTTGACCTTCTTTCAAGCTGAATTCTATATTTTACCCTAGGATTTTGTAAGAGAAAATGGTCATCTTTATAAAGAGGGTCACTTCATTCCTGAGGACTTTTTTAGTCACTTTAATAGTACCATTGAGGTCTATAAGGAGTTTGCAGACACCTTGAATCAGAATGAGTGCATTCTGCCTTCAACAGTAGAAACACCAGAGAAAGGTAAGATGTTTTTTCTTTCTGTGAACAGAGACTAAGTAGATATAAATTTTCCTTTGATTTTAGAGATATTATGGATCTGATGCTCTATCTTTTTATTGCCAGTTAAAATGACTACCAACACCAAAACTTTTATTTCTGTTCTAAGTAGAATTTTATCTGGCAGTAAAACTAGTATCATCATTCCTAGTGACATCATTCCTTAACATAATCCAAAATTACTTCACAATACTCTGCTCTGTTTCTTTTCATCCCAAATATAACCTGAATTTCTTTTTACATTGCTCTTGTTCTTCATCCAGTCTTCTGTTGATGTTTTATTTAATTTTTATAAGGCAGTAAAGAAGCTTAAGATTGCACTACCTAAAGGGTACAGTACTAGAATTAGCTGTAAAGTGCAGCAGTGTCAAGTCAGCTCTGCATTTGCCCCACTTCTCCTGAAAAGGACAATATTTAATTGATTTTAAAAATTTTACAAGCTCAGCACAAGCTCCTGTGGTTCATTCTCATCCTTGTAGTGAATGGAGGGTTTTTTTGCTTTCTTTTACTCTCTTGAGGGACAACTACTAGCAGTTTTAATTAGGGCAACATACTCATTTGCAGTTACACCAGTAATAACTAGAAGCAGATCGATGTCATAACCTAAAAAATTGTGCAAAGAAATTGCTCTTCCAGAATAGGTATTTAGTAGCAGAGCTCAGTCTGTTAAAGAGATTGCCTTTCTTTCTTTATTTATTTTTTAACTTGGCTTAATCCTCTTTTAAAGAAGGCCTGTAGCCAGATCAGGATAGCCCTATACCCCAGCATCTTTTATAGAGGCAACTGTATTTTAAGTTACGTAATGCTGACACACTCATTTTCTATTTAGATTCCAGAGTCGCTGTCACAAAAACATTTTTGTTTCCTCCTGTTGCTGCCAGCTCCCTTAGGAATGACAGCATTGGCAGTAACACTAGCAGTAACAGTAAGTACAAGTCATTGAATTAATATATGTGTCTCCATTTTGTTCTAGTAGCTGATTATTATGAGAGCTAAGAGGAAAAGAATGTCTTAATTGTGCAAATTAATGGGAAGTTACTTAGGCCTTATGGTATACCATGTGTTTCTCAGCTGTTATACCAAAATGTAGTGAACTGATCTAATGAAAATTTAGAGATGCCATATATTTACAATGATGTGATGGCTCTCTGCAAATTGGAGAGGTCAAATCTCTTCATTTTGCCTCACTGCTGCTGCGAGCTCTCCTGTGTAATCTCAGTGAACTTGTTTATCCCAGACACTCATTTTACCTCTCCAGAGGGAAGCAGACTAACACAATAGCTGTCCTAAAATGGGCTCAGAATACTCACATGGATAGATAGGTTGTCTGTATATCATATTTTGAGATTAGTCTTGATCCTAAGCTTTACTCCAAATTTGAAGACTGAAAACTTCCTGTAGTAGCAGGAGGGATATCTCCATAGTCACTATGTTTTCAGTTGAGGTCAAGGACGGGTACTGACCTTTTGGCAGGCTGTAATCTTCTGTTTGGCTGGTCATCTCCATGTTTCTTATCTATCTTGATTGATATATTACATCACTGTCTTGTAAGCAAATATTTCCTGGAGCTTTCCTTGTGAGTGAAAGAAGTGGTTTTCCCATAGTAATTCGTAAATGGTATAATCTGTTTCCCTTTTGCCTTTTACCCGGAGGCATCAGGATGACAATGTGTTTTTTGTTTGTTTGTTTGTTTGTTTTTTTCCTTCCATTTCTTTCCTTCACTTAAACATTCGTGCTAGCAAAGTATGTGGTATTTAAGTGTGTAGTTAGGACTCCTGCTTAAGAGAGCATGGTCATGGAGGCATCTTGCTGTACCTGGCAGAGGCTCCAGACAGTGAGACAGACAAAAGAGGTTTCTTCTTCTCTTTCTTCTTGTGGGAAAGTTTGAAGTGATAGTTATTCTCTGGGTTTCTACCACCATGCACCCTCTCTGCTCGCTTGCTCACAATCATTGTCAGATTTGAAGCTCTCCCTGATTGCTTTCTAATTAAGAGGTTTTAAGTCATGGCTCCCCCAAATCCTCTGAGTCTAAGTCTGGAATGAAATCCATCATCAACTCCTGGCTGCCAGCCCACCTCTCTGGAAAAGACAAATCTCACTAGCATAAATTCCTAGCCAGGAGGTCACAGAATTGGCTGCGATTGCCCACAGCCAATTATGAGGCACCAGGAGGGAGCTAAAGAGTGCGTGTGAGCCTGTCTCAGGTCTGAACATGCAATAACCTTCATTGCAGCTACGAGAGGAAGAATATTCAAGTGCAGCCTCCAGCTATAGGAATGGATCACGGAGCCAAAAGGAAGAGATAGGTAGATTACAGGAGAAGTTCAGATGAAAGGAGTTTGACCTATTAGGGGAGGAATGCCAGACAGCACAGCGGAAGCCAGGGCTTCAGCCTCTAAGATGGCACCTGTGCTGGTATACGGGGAATGGGAGGATAGAAGCAGGTTTATTTAATCTTGTCTTTTAACTACAACCGATAATCAAGTAGGAAAAAAAGCCTAATTAAAATAATGCAGTAAGTCAAAGAAATTGCTTGGCTGACCATATGCTGTACAGGTGTGTTTTAACTGATTATCATTCCCTTAAGCAATTTATTGGAAAATTGGATATCACTTAACAGCCTTATGTACGAATGACATGAGGACTGAGTGTCTGGGGACAGTTTGAACTCATAATCAGCTTAAAACACATTAACTTGGACATTGGATGCTGACATTTTACTAGTTTATTTTGAGTCTTTGAGGATGGGACATGTGACATCTTTATTGGAATTTCCTACTTTAATATTGGTTGCAGGTTTGTCTTGGCTTTATTGCTGAGAAAGTTTTCCTTTGGTGCTAATCCATGCCTTCTTGTGAAGGAACAACAAAAAATAATCCTTACTGTTTTCTGCGTGACGGTTCCCTAGCACAGGGGGACGCCATCTGCCTTCTTTGGTACTGGTCGCAAAATAGCACCATTACATTCAAATTTTTAATTTTGAATAAGATGGGAAACTTGAAAATTAAAAGAAAGAAAAAGTGTATCAACACATAAACTACTGGGATAAATTTATTTAAAGGAATGTGACTGTATTTACTAGAAAAGAGTTTTAACATAAACTATAAAATTAATGTTTCCTAGACTGTTTAGCAGAATTCATCACTCACAGACATATTCTTCCAGCTGAATAATAAATATTGAATTTGTTAATAAAGTCTCTGTTGCATCAGATGACTCGAACTGTAGTAAAACCTGAAGGGAATCAGCTAATAAAATCATTTGAAATAATAGCTGTCATAGGAATTGTATATCATTTAAATTAGCGACATTATTTTTTTTTCTTCTTGAAGCTACATTTATTTCAGCATCTGTATCTCATGGTTTATCGTTATTACTGAGTGATAAAATTGAACTGCTATAGCAGAGCGGAACTCTGACAAAATCTACATCAGAAATCTCTCCCAAACTACATGCAGAATTGAATAAGTGGTCTCCTTCTTTCTTATCTTTTGGAAATGGCAGTAGTGCTATTTTCAACCTTTTAATATTGATTGTAGATCTGTAACATGTTCCCACGTCAGCTTCTCACATATAAATACTTCTCCCCACCAGCCTCCCAAAATTTCTTTAGTCTTTTCGTTTTTCTCTGTACTGCATAAGTCTAGCCCAATTTAATTTCCAAGTGACTGTTTTGGTCCAAGTCCTGTTGGTACTTCTCAGGAATCTTTACGCTGTATATCATCTAGAGAATTCAAATGAGGTGGTTCCTAAAAGAACAAGTATCAGGATGAGAGGAGTTGAGTTGTGATGATCTCTGCTTTCTGTGATTGAACCAAGATGAATAAATGGTATTTTTCTTCCTAATGAAGGAATCTCATATTGCTCTGCTTAAAAATTGAACATACTAGCTATTACTAACTCTTCTCACTCACCTTAGTGCAGTACTGTTCCTATTTTCATAGAAAGTTCAGTGTTGTTTTCTTTCATTTCTGCCTACAATTTTCTCATAATAATGTGGCTTTATTCTTCAGTAATGAACAGTACAAGAATGTGTATATTCTATAAACAGAGCTCTCTGTAAGTGTTTTAGGAAGAACATAGACTTTCGTAATTAAGGAAAAGATACCTTAGTTTCATTCCATAATTGCACAAAAATTAAAAAATATTAAACTATGGCTTAATACAATTGCTGTTGCACTGTATGCCTTTGTTCCACCTTTTTAGTTCATGAAAATACTAATGAACAGGTGAGAGCTGTTCTGCATTTGTATAGATAAAATCTGGTGGTAATTGTGCTGGAGCTGAGTGAGGAGAACTGAAATTCCTTTGAGACATAAATGGCAATAAAATCTAGCCAGTGTTTTGAATCATAGTTGCCTGCTAAACCTGCATGCATGGCTTAAGGTGGGGATCTGCTCGGTAACTTAATTGTGTAGCTGAGAGACTTTCAGTATAAATATTTCGTATTCTCAGTTTAACATCACAATGTCCGTGAAGAATTATACATAAGTTACTGGAGATGAACTCATTTCCTAAGGGATTCTTCTATAAGGTGCAAAAGGAGTACTTTGTGTTGGCCTGCTTCTCCCCGCTATAGCAGTGTGAGATAGTGTCTATTTCAAAGAAATAACTTGAACTGCAAAGTCAGCAGTTTCTGTAGTGTTGCCCCAGAGGTTCTCAAATGTACTGATGTATCTGGTTCCTTCTGGTCCTTCCCTTACTCTGCCATTACTGCTGTGGGCACCGGGAATCTGTGAAACTCTAGTTTCCAATCTAGGACAGAATTCCTATGGCGTAGATAAAAGACTGTTGACAAGCAGCTTGCGTTTCTTAATTCTCTTTCCTTCAGTAGGAGACAGATCCCTGGGAGGTTCTCCAGACTGAAAATTCTCCAACCTATTCTGTTTTAGATGTTACTATAAATAAAAGGCACATGATAAAACCTGCCATGACTCATTTAATTCTCTCCAGATCTTTCAAGACACTTAATTCTGGACTTGAAAGTGAATGTAAATAATATGTTATCATTTGCTTTTTAAGGTAGTTTTGGGTTGGTGATTTTCTGTCAAACTAACTTTCAAATTAGCCTAAATGCAATCAGATTATATATATATAAAAAAAATTGTTGCTTGCTTTCTAAGGTAACTTTGGGTGTTGAGGTTTGTTTCATTTTTTGACTGTGCTTAGGCTCTGCCTTGGGTTTCCAGATGCCCACATGGAACAATAACTGTGTTTTTCTTTCAGATTTCCAAAGATGCTAAAGAAAGCATCTATAGTTGAAAGTATCAGAAAGCAGTTTTTTTAGATATCTCTTTGTATAGGAAGCTTTTCCACTAGAAACTCCAAAATTGAGGGTTCTTGATTTTCACCGATATCTCTGAATGCTTTGTGTAATATTTTTCTTGAAGTTCACATAAAAATCAGCATGCTTGCCATTACTTTCTGGCTGGTACTGCAGAGTAGGTTGTTCTTCAGGTAAAGAAAAAATAGGCAGTTTTTATTTAAGATTTTCAGACCAGTTCCATACCATTTCAGTTTGGCCCAGATTTCTTGAAGTTCAGGTCCGCAAAAAAAAAAAAAAAAAAAACTGCCCAATGCCTAACCTCAGACAGACAGTTTGATGAAGGATATGTTCCTCCTGTTTTCTGATCTTGGTTTTAATGTCGGAGCAGACAAAAAAAAAGAATAATCAATAGCCTCTGTTCACTTTATGTTTTTCTCCATAAAACTTTGTCTGCTGTCCTCCCCCACTCGTTAGACAGTCAGGTCCTTCCACGGTAAGCTAGCATCCGTTCTGCTTGACTGGTATTTCCTTGTAATCTGACAAGTGTTCTGAATGCAAGTAAAATTCAAGTCACTATAGTCATTATCTAGAATTTTTAAACAGTTTTTTTTTTTTTTTTAAGATTTGCCTGCACTGACTCTAGAAACAGCTTAATTTGGGAGATAAAAAGAATTCTGTGTGCAAGCTAGTAGCATGACAAGCAGATAATCTCAGAGATAAAAATAAGTTTTTAGTTAAGAATGAGAAAGGGTTTTTTTAACAAAAGTGTTTTCAATAATATCTTATAAACACATTGATTGACCCAGTTTATCATACCATATATGCTTTACTGTTTGTTCTTTATATGAGTCGCTTGCATAGCAGTTTCCAGTGCTGTCAGAGTCCATTTTCTTACTCTATCACCTAGATTTTTTCAAGTGCTTATAGCTTGAAGATTTTTTTTTCCTGTAATCTGGCAATACACCCACTGTTTGAGTTGCAGTCACCAAATCTAAGTGGATGGTGTTTGTACCAGCAGTCTCTTGTGGCTCACTTTGCATTTCAGAACATGGTCCTAGGGTAACTCCATAGGATTTTGCACATCCTGCCCTTGATTAAATAACTGGAAGGCCAGATTTTACTCTCAGCATGCATTCAGCTCCCTGTGAGGGGAATGGAATAGCTGGTTTATATAGGCTTTGGGCCCTTCTGTATAAGATGTAAAAAGCTATCAAGAAATGGTAGTAACAAGCTAACACACAGCCAGACTTCAATTTACAAGAGTTTGATCTCACTGAAGTCAGCAGGACCTTTCCGGGCAGGCGTTAAAAGTGGAGTCAGGCTTATGTTGTTAAATTAACCTCTCTTGAGGGGCCTTGTGTAGGTGGTTCACTAGTCCAAGTGTCAAGGCAAAGCATCTACTTAAAATCAGTGGTATGTGCCTTATCGATCTTAAACAAATGCACAAAGTGACTATTTAGAAGTGATTGATATATGCTCTTCTCTTTTTTTTTTAACACAATAAGATCTTTCAAAATTAATAAATCCAACATATTGAAGACAGGGAAAGACAAAATGCTCTGACAAAAAAAAATACAAAAAAAAGATAGTATTGACACTATGAAACACAGTTCACTCAGAAATAGGAAGAACATCCTTGCGGTATAAAAGCCCCCAAAATTTCCCGTGAGAATTTGTCATGAAATACACCTCATGAATGCAGCAGTTGAAAGTATCTCTACAGCTGTGTAAGATGCTCTTATGTAGGTGGTGCATGGACATGCTTTTACTAACAGTGTTGCCCTGAAGATAGTTTTCTGCCATAAATCTGTTTTCACTAACGAGAACAACTGTAATTACAGAAGAAGCACTTGGCTTCGTTAGCAGTCCGAGCCTGCAAGGGATCAGCATAGCACTGACATCACTTCTGTCTCTTCTTATTGGCTTTATTTTGGGAGCCATATACTGGAAGGTAAGAAATACTACATTTAATTGTTTACATAGTGATACACATTAAATTTCATAACAGAGGAGGCAGGGAGAACAAAATGATTATGCATATGAAAACAGTAGGCACTTCTGATTTTTTCTGAACTGTGTGACATGTAAATATCAAGGTCTGTTTTCCTCTTCCTGAATTTCACCAGCAAAGTATGACTCTGTCCTATAAATATGCTAGATCTATGTTTCCTAACTATGTTTGGAAACAGATTTTGTGGCTTTTACACATTGTGGTTTTGTCTACAATGCAAAGGCTTTAACTATAAAACTATACCAGCATAGGGATAGATTTAGCCTATATTTTGCAAGGTGATGTTGATAATGAAAATGTGAAAGTGAACTGAAATATACACTAATAAAAACAGTGTTTTAGAATAATTGTATTTAATTCATTTTCTTCCTAGAAAACACATCCCAAGTCCAGAGCAGAAAGTGATGAAACTACACAGTGTAATGACTGTCAAGAAGAAAATGAGATAAGGTATTTTCTTTCACTTTATGCACATATATCCAAATGTTATTTTATCTTTGAGACTTGCTTTCTGAAAGTCTCACTCTCGTGCTCTTAGACAAATCCAAGAAAACACCAAACAAATAACACATTATGAGGATATTTGCTGAAGAGATAGAAAATATGCTTACAGCTTGTCCCTTGAAGTAGCTCCTAGTCTAAATATAAGTGTTGGTGTGGAGATTTCCATATGTAACATTTTATTAAGGGAAAAATACCTTTCCCTTATTTGTCTTCACTTCCACAAATCAGTGAAAGAAGAAGTGCTGAAAAACAGTAGTTTCAAATGAGTATCTTAAGCAAAGAAGTGAAGTGAACCCAGGATTGCTGAGACCTGTAAGGGAAGCAACAAAAATAAGTGAATTTTGTCATTTGGCTTATGGTACAAAGCTGGGTTGATATTACATGAATAAATGGCAGTAAATCTCTTGGCTGTGCTGCAATTAACTCATTTTAATTTTGTTTTATATTAGCATTTTTGAGGTTCTTTCCCTTTTTGACACTTTCCTGGAGCTATGCGTGTTAGGATCTATTCTTCCTAGTTTATTTTAATATTCATAGAAAGTTAATGAGAATGTATTCAAACCCTGGCAACTTCGTAAGGTCATTCTGCAATGATTCTCTGCTTTCTTTATATGTAAGCATTGTTTTGTCTGATTATAAGCAGAAATAATTCTGTATAACTCCGTTGATCAAATAAATGCCAGAAATAATACTTGAAGACAGTCAGACTTGCATTATGACATGATTTAGACCAAGAAGTTTGCAAATTTCAGAAAAGAACTTGGAATATTCAGTGTTATAATACCTCATGCTAAAATGTTTTATTTTTCTTTAATCAGTTTTTAGCTGTGAGGAATCAGAGGCATGTCTAAGGCACGTGGCAGAGATACAGACCTTGTACTTTAGGTTTGTCATTTTAGTGTGAAGTGTCTTGTGTTGCCCACTGTTGAAGCTAGGAATAGACAAGCTTATAAAACAGCAAGTTCCCAAACTTAGCTATTTTATATGTATGAGCTGAAATTTTCTGTATTCCAGCTTTCTAGAGTAATACATTCATAGATTACATTTTCTTCAAGTGCAATTCATAAAAATAAAATACCTATTTTTTTATTTCAGTATGTTGCAGCAAAAAGAAAAAGACCATCTACAAGTGTAGCTGTTGCTTTTTCTCCCTAAACACTGTTACCCTCTCATGAATTGGTAAGTTCTTATGCTTGAGAGTGTTACTACCAGGCTCATAACCTTTGTCCACTGGAATTTGGAGTCCATTTTAGGAAAAATGAAATAAAACTTGCATTCAGTGGACTTATATTGCTCCTAAGATCTTTAACTACTAATGTAATTAATCCTGTGTCATGAATTTAGGCCTCAGGATTTTAGCCTGGATGATACAAAGTGAAATATTCCAAAATGGAGGACAGCTATAATTTCTCTCTTTTTTTTTTTTTTTTTTCCTGGTGTGTCAGCCAATGCTGAGATTTCTTCAGCTTTTGTCCTATAGCTGTTTCAAAGCAGAGTGATCTAAAAAAAACAACATTCTAAAAATAACAGGTGAGCATAGGAGAACAGGCCAAGTAGAAAGCTTCCCACAGGACCACAATATGTACAAAAGGATGAGCTGACCTTCTGCTAATTGGTGTTTACTCAGCACAGTTTGCAGCCTTGACAGCCTTATCAGATTCATCATTCTTGCTTTTCTATATACAGTTGAGCTGCTAATGTGAGTGAGTTTTCTCATTCCCAGTGCATCTGTGCAGAAGGGCCCTTTTCCCTGTCAAGGGAGTTCTTGCAATGGGAGTAATGCAGTATTTAACCTAGGGAATCTTTGATGAACATCTGGAAGTTTCAAGAAGTGCTGAATATTTCCTATTATCTCAGGACCTAGGTGAGCAAATTTAAAACAGCCAGCCGGCCTGGTTTCACCTTTTACTCTGTCTCAAAGTGTTCGTCGTGATGATTTGGGCCATCATCAGTCTCCCAGCTATTTTATTCTAGCCACAAAGGCATCTGCTTACTGAGAAGGAAAGCAACACAGTGTGGGACAAGCAATTTCACTTTCAAAAAGGTATAAATTGAACTTGTCCAGTTGAGCATAAAAGGGAATTTATTGTCAAAGATTGCCAGGTACCAAATGCACAAATATAGCAGTTCAGTAAAAACACGTGACTATAATCTCTTGACTTGCAGCTAGATGACGTCAGTGGGCTTCTGCAGGCAAATGCGTTTCAGATCAGGGTTGATAAGTAGCATGAAGTTTAAGAGGGGTCTCATAATAATTATTTTTATTTCCAAATAAAGGAATGTCTGTGCAAGTGCCACTGCATATACTGATTTCCAAATTTCTAATAAAAAAGCCTTGTTTTTTTAAAAGCTGTACTGTTCACTGTTGAAGAGAGGAAAACTAATCAGCAGAATTATGATTTCCCCTTTTTGTCTCCAAGCAGGTAACAGTTCCATGTTCGCTTCATAAATGAAGCAGCTTTAAGCACATTTGTATTCCTTCTGGAGTGACAGACTAAGTCTGCATCTGTTGTTGCTGCCCATGACTCCATAGACATGATATAGAAACAAGGACAATTTGTGTTTGTTACTGTGAAACCAACACTAAATTGAACAACATTAAGTGTGCACTGAGCAGGACTATCTTATGTGAATATCTACCTTGTGTGGCGTTTGTGGATTTTTATTTACATTAATATCTGCAGATGATTCTGACAAAGTCCTGAACAGAAAACATCTTTCAAATGCCTCCAACTATGGCTGATCATTCAAAGTCATAAATATATTTGCATCCTTAATTTAAATTCTGTGTCCGCTGCCTTGCTTTGATGTCTTCAAGTGGAGTTCTCTGAACTGACAGAAAACGCAGAAATGGATACAGATAACATACTCTTCAATTTTGTATATACAACTTGAAAGTCAAGCCATGAACCAGCATTTTACTTACAGGGAACTGGGTTTATGTCTGGCAAAGGTCTTGTGTACAGCAACGTGGTCTCTGTTGGGTGCCCAGTGGCTGTATGCCCAGCCCAGAAAGCCTCAAGAATTCATCAGGGTTGATGGTCTCTGTTCAGGAGAAGCAATACTGGATGAAGAAAAAGTAAACAGGAGGTGATAGTACAGCATGGAGATAGTATAGGAATTAGGCGTAACTGCTGGATATGTGAACAATGCTGAAATCTCCAGTCACAGAAACGGAGGGGAGAGTGAAGAGTCTGAACTGCGTTCGAACATCAGAATAAAGGCAAACCCATGATATGCATTTTAAATTCTGAAGATGCACGCCATTGATATCTTGTCTTTACATACATAGCATGGAAAAAATGAAAGATCCAGAGGATGTGTTTAGCTTTTACCTACATCAGCTGTAATTAATGTTTGCATTTTTTGAATGATTAATAAGCTTTAATATTCTGTCATTTTCCACTCTTAATTCTCTTGAAACAGAAAAACTTTCCCACTTGTCTTCTGCATCTATTGCTGTTATTGCATACACAGAATATGTACAGGACTGATGTACAGATACGCATTTTCAGGTAAACCCTAGACAGTAGAAGTTGCAAGTGCACTTGTGCATCTTTTTGTCCCGACTTTTTCCAGATAATAGATATGAATCATTTATCTATCTTAGGAGTTTGTACTTCAGAATGTAGAGGATGCTCACCTCAAATGACAAACTCTCTTGACAGCCAGTAACTAGGTCAGTATAAGTTTTAATTTAAGTAACTTAAAATAATAAAAAATTCCTTTAGTGTTTTTCATAAAGTTGAATTTATCTTTAAAGTATATAATTGCTTAATTTTTTAAGAATCCTTGTGGATGTTTTAATCATCATCTACAAAATTTTATGGAAACCAAATTTAAAAGAGTATCATAGGCATATATATGTATGTGTATTACTGGTAAAAATGATCTGTCTTTTATACTATCAAAAAGAAAACTCAAAACCATACTAAGTTTGACCACAGAATTTATATGTGAATATAAAGTGGCTACTTTGCCTGGAATTTTAGTCCAACTGAAATCAATAGTAAACCTTCTCTTGCCTTCCCTGAGACCAGGATTGGATCATGTGGATCTAGTTTTTATTCATACTGAGGCCATTTTATACTGCTTGAGTGTCATAAAGAGTCCCCAAGTTCAATCTGTGTAAATTCCATGTTAGCAGAGCTCTGGGGTTTGCAACTTCTTATAGGCTTCTATATCAGAATATGTTTAGTTTGGTTTTATTTTTAACAGGAAGATACTGGGGCACTCACCACTCAATGAGAAATGAAAAAGTTCTCCGAACTTTTGAAAAGCAAGTTTCAGCTCTGCAAAAATCAAACAACAGAATTATCTGTCTGTAGCTCAATCTTATATTACAATGTGTAGTTCTTTAATCGCTAGACCCACAGACTTTATGTTTCAAGCCTATTTAAGAATTACCCTGAAGCAAATGTCAGTCAGCATGCTCCAGTATTTGATGGGAAATGTGCACCTTACTGATAATGTGGAAAATAACTGCCTACAAGTTTTGACGAAAGGAAATGTATCCACAGTACATGAAAACAATTATCCTTATATAATTTACAAAAATACTAAACTTTTCATGTTGCTATATGGTATGTTCCCAGATCAGTTTTATGAATTTGAAATCTTATAATGTTTTTCATAGATTCATTTAAACATCTAGTATTAATATTCTTTGTTCATAAGAATGTTATTTTCCTAAATATGTATTTTCCAGAAAATCAAATATACAATAACATTGCACATTGGTGTGCCTCAAATTATACTTTGACATTCAAAATGCATGGTGTTTTAGACTCTTTAATATGGAATCTGCTGTTTGATGAGAAAAGATAAGAGATTGTGTGAATTGAAGTATACTAACCACAGATAGACTGCCACAAAATGCTTGTGCTTCAAGAGGAGCAGTCTGGAGCTGTGACAACAGCTGTGATCACTTTTAAATAACGTCTTGTACTTTCCTCTCTACCAGAAAGTGCAGCAAATTTAAGGATACGTAGGTACAAAAGGCAAATTCTGACCTCACATCACAACCATGAGTATGCATCAAATGAACAAATACCACATAACATCAGCTTAGCAGAACTGTTGTGACAGCTCATGGTTTTTCCGGTGTTCCCAACCCCATTTGATATGAACATAATTTTGCAAAGCAGAGGGACACTTCTAGACATTTCTGAATAGAATAGATTGCATGGCACTTGGAAATGTAATTATGAAATTGTTTGAAAGGTTTCTCTGCCCACTTTGTGTACCCACTGCAATGGCCCTTCATAGAATCATAGAATGCTTAGGATTGGAAGGGACCTCTAGAGATCATCTAGTCCAGTCTAGTATGCAGTCCCCCTACATACGCAGGGACACCTAGAGCACGTGGCACAGGACTGCATCCAAGCGGGTTTTGAAGATCTCCAGAGAAGGAGACTCCACAACCTCTCTGGGCAGCCTGTTCCAGTGCTCTGTCACCCTCACTGTCAAGAAATTTTTCCTTAAGTTCCTATGGAATTTTTGATGTTTCAGTTTCCGGCCATTTCCTCTAGTCCTATCAGTGGCCACCACTGAAAAGAGACCATCACCATCCTCTGCACTCCCTCCCTTGAGGTACTTATAGACACTGATCAGATCCCCTCTCAGCCTTCTCTTCTCCAGGCTGAACAGGCCCAGCTCCCTCAGCCTCTCCTCATAGGGCAGATGTTCCAGGCCCCTGATCATCCTTGTGGCCCTGCGCTGGACTCTCTCCAGCCCTTACTTCAGACATGGTGAAATTTTGAAAGACTACTGACTTGTGAGGGATCTTTGAAATCAATAGAATAGGTTATTTTCCTGTGTGGGCAGTGGTAGCAGGAATAGTCCCTTACTTACTTCTTTATCCAGTTCTAAACTGTTTAATTTCTGAAGAATGATCCAATTTTAAACCTGCAGTTTGAGGAGACACAGCCCATGCATCATCATGGATAGAAAATAAATACCCTTTCTCTTAAAATGAAATTGGGGAAAGTGAGGCATTTTATTTCTATGGAAGTCAACCAAATTTGGGTCCAGATATCTGTGGTTTTGTGAGAAACTGACATTTTTAAGTTTCCTTTGGACTGGTTGAACTTTGCATGCAATTAGTAGTGGCCTTGTGAGAATAAAAAGCAGATA